TATGGGGTTACGTATTGCTTACATCATACGTGATTCAATGTAATTTCGAGATAAAGAATTACTACCACGAAGAACCAAATGAGTTGCGAACTGACAGCGGGTGCATTGAAATGTACCTCGCTTGTAAGCGGGGTACATTGAAAATAATAGAAGAGCACTCAGCCAATCAGAAAGCGACATATATGTGTGAGGTAAGATAAATATATATATACTGTCCAAACGTCTAAACCTTAACCGGCTTCAGCAACGTTACGACAGGAGTCACATGAAAGGGATGCTGGCAAGCAACTTCCGGTACATGGTGCGGGATGACCTGAACAGATGTGCGCATGCGTATTATTTCTATTATTGAATATTGAATTCTATTATTATTTTTTCAGTGTACGGTGCAGTAACCCCCAACTACATGATGCATGAATTACTGTACAGTTCCAATACCGTGTCATGGGCACTGCCTAGCCACCTGCCAGGAACATTCCAGTAGCGACCTCGTTGATATTAAGGACAGTGTCAGGAACGAAGCCTCCGTCATTTCTTTAAAACACCTGAAGCGTCTGCAATGTACGTAAAACAGGAGATGCTATGCTGTATCTCCTTCTCTTTTGTCCTAAAATAAGAGAGAGTGAGTGGTGAATAAGTGAATGAGTGAGTGGGTGAGTTTAGTTTTATTTTGTTGCCTTTTCCACACTAGGCAACATTCCCCGCTATGTAATCTGCGAAGGATAATATGTGTTTCGTGTGGGTTGAGACAATATGTGTTCTGTGTGGGTTGAAAAAATACGGAAAGGAAAAATATGTGTTCTATTGTGGGTTGAAAGTACGGAAGGACAATATGTGTTCTGTGTGGGTTGAAAGTACGGAAGGACAATGTGTGTTCTGTGTGGGTTGAAAGTACGGAAGGACAATATGTGTTCTGTGTGGGTTGAAAGTACGGAAGGACAATATGTGTTCTGTGTGGGTTGAAAGTACGGAAGGACAATATGTGTTCTGTGTGGGTTGAAAGTACGGAAGGACAATATGTGTTCTGTGTGGGTTGAAAGTACGGAAGGACAATATGTGTAACACGAGGTTTCAGAGTATATTCTTACTCCTTCATCAGGTAAAATGAAAAAATACATGTAAAACCTACAAAAGTGATCATATGAATGGTGAACATGTAACCAAGATACATCGCGTGGATGCAAATTTATCAACTCGATTCTAACGCGATGCTAATGTTAAAACGTCCACATTGGCAAACCGACCTGACTGTGGTATTAGTTTCGCGGCACGCCCCAACTTGCGATATGCGAGACGGGACCCAGCTTACTTCCGGACCAGATTGCCGGTGACATGCGTATATTCATGAACTAGTTCTGGTTCGAAATTGCGCGACCGCCAAATATGACTTTACTAGACCGGACTAAGTGTACAACCATTTTGGCTGTCACAGCTCTTGACAGTCGTAATAATTTGGGGATGGTTAGATCGGAAATTTGTTATTCCTGCAAGGAGTCGGTTCCTTACTGTCAACTGTCAACCATGAGATCATTCGAAAAGGTATAAACCGTTGTTTGTCAGCGAAGTGCCGTGACCTACTTACGGGCCCTATTACTGTATGGTAACCACCTACTACAACTGCAAATTCATTTACATATGAAACGTTATACTCATTCTTGGTTACCCACAGAAACAGACTCCTCCGGGTGTACAGGCAAATGATATCTGTGAAGGTTTTATGAATGGACCACTGAAAATCAGTGATGACACCAGGCGTTTGCCAAAGGGGTCAACATGTCCTGCCCTACCGGTAACATCCGGCATTCACCAAGTTTGCATAAAAACTTAGCATTTCTTGCCTGACGCAGTAGTACCTCTGCCATTCCATGGTTGCCGATAAAGAAACCAGACAATCCAGTTTAATGATTTTTGAACTACGGATGCTGAGTAAGATATTCCGATGCTCATAAGAGGTGATGGAGTGAGTTTAGTTTACGCCACCCTTAACAATATTTCATCAATATCACAGCGGGGACACCAGAAATGGGCTTCATACATTGTACCCATGTGGGGACTCGAACCCGGTCTTCTGCGTGAAGAGCGGCGCTTTACCCACTAGGATACCCCACCACCCTACTCATAAGGGAAAAAAACATATTGGAAATAGATTCATTTCACAACACAGTTGGTGCATGTCAGTATTAACGTCTTCACCATTTGAAACATCTGGCAGATCTGGCCTGGCTCAGCGCACCTGATTGCCACCCCACCTGGGTACAATGTGTGAAGCCCATTTCTGGTGTCCCCCGCCCTGATATTGCTGGAATGTTGCTAAAACGGCGTAATACTACACTCACTCATTGATTGCGATCCTTCACAAGCAGAACATAATCTGAAGTTCCAAAGACGTTTTATGTTTCGTTAATTTCAGGAAAGGACCCATGTGGACCGGACTTCATTACGTCAAGTCGGTAACCGGAGGGGAGTTTCAGTGGTCGGACTGTCAGTCCGTGAATGAGTCTGTACCGTGGTTGACCGGGCAGCCCAGTGACCAGGAAGTATCGAGCTGCGTCACAGTGGGCTGGAAAATGTTCATGACGCGGACACACAACTGCAGCTCTCACTTCGTGTTTGTTTGCCAGAGAATAAACGGTACGGGTTTAGTGCTTTCGTAACTACTCGTGTCATTCCGGCAAGCCGGATGGCGACTCGTACCCCTCCCGTGGCTATGTTCACGACTGGGCCTTGTCTAAGCGCAGACGGGCACGGAGATGAACATATACTATTCACACTTTGCTAAGGATCAAATCATTGATTCAACAGAAAAGTATGATGTCGGGTCTACTTTGGTTTAAATATCTAAGCCATTGTAAGCATGGATCCTAGGTTTCAGTATGTCATTGCATCTTGTGGCTACGATACCTGCTATTGACAGGTGTTGTGTACATGTCAATGACTCGTTCCATGATTTGCAAAATGGTTGATTGGTGCCATGGTTACTCATGGATAAAGTGCATAAGTTTAGGTTAAAGTGGCTGTTTGCCTAAAGAGGGGTTACCATATCATTATTTATCTAGTTTTAAATGGATGCAATTTCAAAATATAAATCTATGTTTAAGTAAAGTTAGGACTTTTTGTGATCCTCAGCAAAGTTTGTGTAGTATAGTCTAGGACTATTTCCAAGGAAGGATAACTCTGAATTTCCAAACATGGCTACTCCTAGAAAACAACAATTAATTTATAATACAACACGAAAGTCACTTTAAGTAAGTTTCTAACAAATATCAGTAACAAGATAATTTTATAGCCACGGAAATAATAATGGGAATTGATAATCGCAAAGAAACCATAACAGTTTCATTATGGTGTATTAGTGAACTATTTTTCTGTTTACTGAATCCAACCCGATGCGCAAACTGAACGGTTTATCCTCACTGTGCACAGGTAGATGGCGACGAATCCCAGTACATGATAGAAGGTGTACTATGTGTAACCTAAATGATATTGGTGACGAATTTCATTATTTATCTATATGTCCCAAATTAGAATTAGGAAGAGAAAAATATATCCAGAAGTATTATTATATTAGACCAAATATGTATAAAATGAATATCCTATTTAACAGCAAGAAACTAGGGACTTTAAGAAAACTTTCAATTTTTTGTACAATAATTATGGCTTTACTTAAGAAATAATTTCAATAACTTAATATGTAACTAGCTCGATGTACATTGCACCTATCATACCGTTTGTATATACTTTTATGTTGTTTATAAATGTAAATATTATTTATGTACCTCTTATGCTGCAGTTTGCAGCCTGAGTGAATAAAAGTTTAAGTTCAGCCTGTAGAGGATTAGGGATTAGTGGTGTTGTTATAAGGAAAGGGATCGTCTCATGAACTCATGGCGAGAGATTCCAAACTGATAGGATTGTCAGACTGATATCAACACACCAATTTTCCATGTTCATTTAATGTCGTTATAACATGTGACCTTGTGTCACATGTTTATACTGATACAGTCCCCAGTAATCCCTTTGTGTTGCTATTTGACATGCCTGATTGCTTCAGTAATTTGTGCATGCACTACGAGGAGACCCAACTGAACGAATGCACATAGCATAATGGATTTTCGATTAATACATCTATTTGTACGGAATCCTAGAGTGAATATTGTCGCGCTTTTGCCCTCACAAAAGCAAAAGAAATACTGTCCAAATTCATCGAACGCGATAATTCGACTTTTTAGGCCATTTCTTGCATTGTAGCGCTTTGAATACTGTTTTATTTAACCCAATAGGTGTGAAAGCGACAACGCGACATTTGCGGAGTAAGCACGTATGAAGAGTTGACGAATTGTCGCCCCACCTAAAATATGTGAAAAAAGGGTCCAAATGCGTGATAACGCGACATATTCATGATAACGCATTGACGCGGTTCAGCTAATGTTGACACTTCTGGTTTGTTTATGCAAAGGAGATGCGACAACGCGACAATGTCCCTTCAAGATTCCATATACAGTGACAGCGACAACGTAATGGTAGGTGTCACTTCCGGTACGAAACTTTGTTTCTGAAATGCGTCGAGAGCATTTATCATGAAGAGAGGTAAAATGAAAATGTGGCTTAGTCGCAAGCACGAAGACTATGGTCATGGGTTCGAATCTCGGTTTGGGATACTGTTTTAAACAGCCTAAACCCGAGCTATCTCAGCCACCTGGTCAAGATCCTGGTTGTACTTCAGCAACCCCATGCTTGTCGGAAGAGGCGACTAACGGGACTGGGTGGTCAGGCACGCTGTCCTGGCTGATGCATGTCATTGGATCCCAATTGCGTAGATCGATGCTCATGATGTTGTTCACTGGATTGTCTGGTCCAGACTCGATTATTAACAGACCACCACCGCCAAATAGCTGGAAGATTGTTGACTGCGGCGTTGACAATGGCAAACAAACAAACAAACCTCATCATCATTTCTGTTGTTTATAGGTGATTGTTCCTACACCGGCTTCAAAGACAAAATTTGTGATACAAGAGAAAAGAAGAGTTATTTTAGAGGGAAAACTCAGCCGAGGCGAATGTATGGACCGGTGCAGCATGGACAAAAATGGTTCCGACCTGTGCTGGAGCCTTCGAGCGAGATAAGACTAGTAGCAATTGCACGTTAATCTTCTCACCGAGTCCATACGTCTGTGAGTCCCAGGTTCCTCAGGATGACACTGAAACTGCAGCCAGAAACTGTTTGGAGTGTAAGTTGACCTCCTTCCCTATAGAAATTATAAAATATATTTATAAAACTAAATAGGGATGTATGGTAAAGATGGCGGTGTGCTGAGACCTTGCTGACTTAGGGCCATCTGATACGCGGTGCTGGTCAATCAGGACTGACTTTCTTCGTTTATATCTGCCCTTTGGATAAGGTAGTCAGGCTTTGGTTGAGCACTCTTGAATGAAGCCTTTGAATGGTATTTAGAAGTGATGCGCATAAAAGATGAGATGAGATTTATGGATGTCAATTTCGTGATTATTAGGAACACGACGTTACGGAGTATATCCTTCATTCACCCAATGAGTGAGTGAGTTTAGTTTTACGCTGTTTTAGCAATATTCCAGCAATTTCACGGCGGGGGACACCAGAAATGGGCTTCATACACATTGTGCCCATGTGGGGACTCGAACCCGGGTCTTCGGTCTGACGAGCCAACGCTTTAACCACTAGGCTACCCCATGAAGGAGTACATGTAAGAATATGTTCCGAAACATAAAGATAAAGAAAATAAAGAACTTGAGAATCCATAAACTTCAATGAGTCTAATTTCTCTTCCGATTAAATATTGTTGTTCCTGAATTTTGTCAAAAGCTGCCTGTATTCTTTTTCTGTGTCCCTCCACCCTAAATGTTTTATATATTTATAAAAATATCTCAAAATATCTCAGTTATCCTGGCTTGTGGAATTTTACAGAAAATATTCCTACCCGCGCGCACACATAAAAAATCAAGTTCATGAATAATTATCTAAAAAAAACCCCTCAACAATTCTTTCCGAAGCAAAGTAACTCATAGATAGCTTAAATGTTTTGACCATTTCATTCAAAACATAAATATTTCATGCAACAAGTTAAACAATTATTGAAAAAACTTTCGTGCTTCCTGGCGTTGAAATGACAAACACATAAAACATACGGATGACTTTAAAAGCACACGTGATAAGTTGCAGGGACAGTGAACATCTTTTCCATTACCACTTTCTTACTGACACTATCGAGAAAATGTAAGAAATAACACATATGTTTCCTTTAAGTATAAAATGAGGAAAATGTTGAATTGCGCTTCCTATTCATTGAGGTGTTGAATGCAGTAAGGGACATACCAGTATTTTCCTTTTTTTAAAATGTAGATTCATTGTTTTGATTAAGAAAATATCTGTTTTGAAGGTGCAGCAGAAAACATATCCACACAAAATCTCATGATCACTTACTGATTTCGTCGTAGCATATGATAATCTGTTCACGTCTCACTTATTGAGACAGTTGTAGCATGTGATAATCTGTTCCTGTCTCACTTATTGGAGACAGCTGTAGCATGTGACAATCTGTTCCTGTCTCACTGAGACAGTTGTAGCATGTGATAATCTGTTCCTGTCTCACTTACAGAGACAACTGTAGCATGTGATCATCTGTTCCTGTCTCACTTACAGAGACAGTTGTAGCATGTGATCATCTGTTCCTGTCTCACTATTTGTGAGACAGTTGTAGCATGTGATCATCTGTTCCTGTCAAAAACTGGAGACAGTTGTAGCAGGCATGTGATCATCTGTTCCTGTCTCACTTATTGAGACAGTTGTAGCATGTGATCATCTGTTCCTGTCTCACTTACTGACACAGTTGTAACATGTGATAATCTGTTCCTGTCGCACTTACTGAGACAGTTGTAGCATGTGATCACCTGTTCATGTCTCACTTACTGAGACATTTGTAGCATGTGATCATCTGTTCCTGTCTCACTTATAGAGACAGTTATAGCATGTGATCATCTGTTCCTGTCTCACTTACAGAGACAGTTGTAGCATGTGATCATCTGTTCCTGACTCACTTACAGAGACAGTTGTAACATGTGATAATCTGTTCCTGTCGCACTTACTGAGACAGTTGTAGCATGTGATCACCTGTTCCTGTCTCACTTACTGAGACATTTGTAGCATGTGATCATCTGTTCCTGTCTCACTTACAGAGACAGTTGTAGCATGTGATCATCTGTTCCTGTCTCACTTATTGAGACAGTTGTAGCATGTGATCATCTGTTCCTGTCTCACTTACTGAGACAGTTGTAGCATGTGATCATCTGTTCCTGTCTCACTTACAGAGACAGTTGTAGCATGTGATCATCTGTTCCTGTCTCACTTACAGAGACAGTTGTAGCATGTGATCATCTGTTCCTGACTCACTTACTGAGACAGTTGTAACATGTGATCATCTGTTCCTGTCTCACTTACTGAGACAGTTGTAACATGTGATAATCTGTTCCTGTCGCACTTACAGAGACAGTTGTAGCATGTGATCATCTGTTCCTGTCTCACTTACAGAGACAGTTGTAGCATGTGATCATCTGTTCCTGACTCACTTACTGAGACAGTTGTAACATGTGATCATCTGTTCCTGTCTCACTTACTGACACAGTTGTAACATGTGATAATCTGTTCCTGTCGCACTTACTGAGACAGTTGTAGCATGTGATCACTTGTTCCTGTCTCACTTACTGAGACATTTGTAGCATGTGATCATCTGTTCCTGTCTCACTTACAGAGACAGTTGTAGCATGTGATCATCTGTTCCTGTCTCACTTACAGAGACAGTTGTAGCATGTGATCATCTGTTCCTGTCTCACTTACAGACACAGTTGTAGCATGTGATCATCTGTTCCTGTCTCACTTACAGAGACAGTTGTAGCATGTGATCATCTGTTCCTGTCTCACTTACAGAGACAGTTGTAGCATGTGATCATCTGTTCCTGTCTCACTTACAGAGACAGTTGTAGCATGTGATCATCTGTTCCTGTCTCACTTACAGAGACAGTTGTAGCATGTGATCATCTGTTCGTAACTCACTTACTGAGACAATTGTAGCATGTGATCATCTGTTCCTGTCTCACTTACAGAGACAGTTGTAGCATGTGATCATCTGTTCCTGTCTCACTTATTGGACAGTTGTAGCATGTGATCATCTGTTCCTGTCTCACTTACTTGGACAGTTGTAGCATGTGATCATCTGTTCCTGTCTCACTTACTGTTACTGAAAAAGTTGTAGCGTGTGATCACCTGTTCCTGTCTCACTTTACTGAAACACTTGTAGCTTGTGATCATCTGTTCCTGACTCACTTACAGAGTCAGTTGTAGCGTGTGATCACCTGTTCCTGTCTCACTTACTGAGACAGTTGTAGCATGTGATCACCTATTCCTGACTCACTTACTGAGACAGTTGTAGCATGTGATCATCTGTTCCTGTCTCACTTATAGAGACAGTTGTAGCATGTGATCATCTGTTCCTGTCTCACTTATTGAGACAGTTGTAGCATGTGATCATCTGTTCGTAACTCACTTACTTGGACAGTTGTAGCATGTGATAATCTGTTCCTGTCTCACTTATTGAGACAGTTGTAGCATGTGATCATCTGTTCCTGTCTCACTTATTGAGACAGTTGTAGCATGTGATCATCTGTTCCTGTCTCACTTATTGAAACATTTGTAGCATGTGATCATCTGTTCCTGTCTGTCTCACTTACTGAGACAGCTGTAGGATGTGATCATCTGTTCCTGTCTCACTTATAGAGACAGTTGTAGCATGTGATCATCTGTTCCTGTCTCACTTACAGAGACATTTGTATCATGTGATCATCTGTTCCTGTCTCACTTATTGAGACAGTTGTAGCATGTGATCATCTGTTCCTGTCTCACTTACTTGGACAGTTGTAGCGTGTGATCATCTGTTCCTGTCTCACTTACTGTTACTGAAAAGTTGTAGCGTGTGATCACCTGTTCCTGTCTCACTTACTGAAAACACTTGTAGCGTGTGATCACCTGTTCCTGTCTCACTTACTGAGACAGTTGTAGCATGTGATCACCTATTCCTGACTCCACTTACTGAGACAGTTGTAGCATGTGATCATCTGTTCCTGTCTCACTTACTTAAACAGTTGTTGCGTGTGATCACCTGTTCCTGTCTCACTTACTGAGACAGTTGTAGCATGTGATCATCTGTTCCTGTCTCACTTACTTGGACAGTTGTAGCATGTGATCATCTGTTCCTGTCTCACTTACTGTTACTGAAAAAGTTGTAGCGTGTGATCACCTGTTCCTGTCTCAATTTACTGAAACACTTGTAGCTTGTGATCATCTGTTCCTGACTCACTTACAGAGTCAGCTTGTAGCGTGTGATCACCTGTTCCTGTCTCACTTACTGAGACAGTTGTAGCATGTGATCACCTGTTCCTGACTCACTTACTGAGACAGTTGTAGCATGTGATCATCTGTTCCTGTCTCACTTATAGAGACAGTTGTAGCATGTGATCATCAGTTCCTGTCTCACTTACAGAGACAGTTGTAGCATGTGATCATCTGTTCCTGTCTCACTTATTGAGACAGTTGTAGCATGTGATCATCTGTTCATGTCTCACTTACTTGGACAGTTGTAGCATGTGATCATCTGTTCCTGTCTCACTTATTGAGACAGTTGTAGCATGTGATCATCTGTTCCTGTCTCACTTACTTGGACAGTTGTAGCATGTGATCATCTGTTCCTGTCTCACTTACAGAGACAGTTGTAGCATGTGATAATCTGTTCCTGTCTCACTTACTGAGACAGTTGTAGCATGTGATCATCTGTTCCTGTCTCACTTACTGAGACAGTTGTAACATGTGATCATCTGTTCCTGTCTCACTTACTTGACAGTTGTAGCGTGTGATCATCTGTTCCTGTCTCACTTACTGGAGACATTTGTAGCATGTGATCATCTGTTCCTGTCTCACTTACAGAGACATTTGTAGCATGTGATCATCTGTTCCTGTCTCACTTTACAGAGACAGTTGTAGCATGTGATCATCTGTTCCTGTCTCACTTACAGAGACAGTTGTAGCATGTGATCATCTGTTCCTGTCTCACTTATTGAGACAGCTGTAGCATGTGATCATCTGTTCCTGTCTCACTTACTTGGACAGTTGTAGCGTGTGATCATCTGTTCCTGTCTCACTTACTGAGACAGTTGTAGCATCATGTGATCATCTGTTCCTGTCTCACTTACTGTTACTGAAAAAGTTGTAGCATGTGATCATCTGTTCCTGTCTCACTTATTGAGACAGTTGTAGCATGTGATCATCTGTTCCTGTCTCACTTATTGAGACAGTTGTAGCATGTGATCATCTGTTCCTGACTCACTTACTTGGACAGTTGTAGCGTGTGATCATCCTGTTCCTGTCTCACTTACTGTTACTGAAAAAAGTTGTAAGCATGATCACCTGTTCCTGTCTCACAGATCTTACTGAAACACTTGTAGGTTGTGATCATCTGTTCCTGACTCACTTACAGAGTCAGTTGTAGCGTGTGATCACCTGTTCCTGTCTCACTTACTGAGACAGTTGTAGCATGTGATCACCTATTCCTGATCTCACTTACTGAGACAGTTGTAGCATGTGATCATCTGTTCCTGTCTCAATTCTACTTAAACAGTTGTTGCGTGTGATCACCTGTTCCTGTCGCACTTACTGAGACAGTTGTAGCATGTGATCATCTGTTCTGTAACCTCTCACTTACAGAGTCAAGTTGTAGCGTGTGATCACCTGTTCCTGTCTCACTTACTAAGACCCTTGTAGCATGTAATCATCTGTTCCTGTTTCACTTACTGAGACAGTTGTAGCGGCGTGTGATACCCTGTTCCTGTCTCACTTTACTAAGACACTTGTAGCATGTAATCATCTGTTCCCTGTTTCACTTACTGAGACAGTTGTAGCGTGTGATCATCTGTTCCTGACTCACTTACAGAGTCAGTTGTAGCGTGTGATCACCTGTTCCTGTCTCACTTACTAAGACACTTGTAGCATGTAATCATCTGTTCCTGTTTCACTTACTGAGACAGTTGTAGCGTGTGATCATCTGTTCCTGACTCACTTACAGAGTCAGTTGTAGCGTGTGATCACCTGTTCCTGTCTCACTTACTAAGACACTTGTAGCATGTAATCATCTGTTCCTGTTTCACTTACTGAGACAGTTGTAGCGTGTGATCATCTGTTCCTGTTTCACTTACTGAGACAGTTGTAGCGTGTGATCAACTGTCCATGTCTCACTTTACTGAGACTGTTGTAGCGTGTCCTCATGGAATTCTTTGTTTGTTGTAGTTTCGGACATCACTGGGAAAAAAGAAAAGATCGTTGAATCAGATGCTCCTGTTTCTGCTTGTGTATCAACCGTCAAAGCAACAACACCTGCAACAACAGCGGCAACTACAACGGAGCCATTAACAACAACATCTATAACAACACCCACTACAACAGAAGCAGATTCAACACAATCAACGACATCGTCAACGGGCGGGGTGGAATCAACTCACACAGAGGCGTCTTTGGTTACAAATAATGACAACAACTTCTGAATCACCTGCCGTGGCGACTGCCGCTACATCTGCAACTACAACTACACCTTCAACTGCAACTACGACTGCAAGTGACACCGACACGCCGGCATCTATCCCCGTTTCTTCAACAATTTCAACGGCTCCATTTTCAAGTAATGCGACCGGAGGAGTCTTCCTCGTCTGCTCTCGACACTTTCCTGTCTCTGTCTTGAAGCAGCTCTAACCAGTTCCAGATCTGCCTCTACCCCGACAGTTACCTCCCCTGGTAGGTATGTCTACGAAGTGTGTGTGGCGGTACAGACGTTCACCGTTGCAGAAAGAAAGAAGCGAACAGACGACATTGTTACTGACCTGACCCTGGACAAGAAGAACCTCCTCCTCGTATCGGAGGAAGAAGTCCAGCGCTGAAGACGAACGCCCGTCTGCCCAGAGCGTGGGCGGAGGCGTAGCCATCATGCTGCTCGTTACGGCAGCTCTCATCATCATCCTGCCTGACTGCGGTAGTATCTTGATGCATCTGGTGCACGTCCACAAGAGGAAGCAGCTTGTCCCTGCACAGCAGTAGGCTTCTGTTCTGAAGGAGGCTCTTCCGAATACAACGCCGGTGTAACTCTCGTAGGGTGTTAACATTTAACCTTCCGACTCAAGTGGGTGTGGATCTCGGTGTAGGTGTTTAAATGTGTTGATGGTCCAAAAATAGTTTTTGGCATAACCTTTCAGACGGAAAATAATTTTTGTAGCGGAGACTAAAAATATTCTTTCAGGAAAAGAAAAAAGGCCAAGGTTATTTGATCATAGTGCTGTTACCACCTGTGCTGTGTAATGGCCTCAAACCATCGAACAACGTTGATGTCTAACTTACATACAGGATACTTTCCTTATATACATGACATCCCATTATATAAACTAAACGAAAAAAAACGTTACCCTCCTTCCTTAATGACGGAGGTACATATCTTCAGCTGGCGTTGTGATGCGTGGACGTCCACTTCTTGGTCTGTCTACGGGGACCCCAGTCTGTCTGAAGCTCTGAATAAGTGTTATAACCGCCGCGATACGGTGGTGGCATCCGAGGGCGTTGGCAAATAGCATTGTATGTCGACCCCATCTGCACCAACCGAATGGCTTTTCTCTCTCCTCAGCTATTACTCATGGCATACTTCTCGTGCTTGTGTATCATATCATCTTTTCTAGGCTCTCTCATACCCTATAGAATTATTCTACATGTGAAAATGGATGCAAATACTGCTTGAATATTTCTGCGTTTTGGCGATTGATATTGCTATGTGTAAACAGAAAATGGAAAAAATGTTACTTTTCAAGCAACAATGTTAACAAAAGATAATTGTAGAAGTTCCTAAACATTTTTCACAGTATCAAAGACACGTTTTACTTGTATTCAAAATGCAAATCAGCAGAAAATGATTTAAAAGACTGAAACCATAGCAATGATTATTTTACAATTTTACACATTCTACAAAGGTTGTTTCTTGTTTTAATAGTTGAAAATGGTGATTTTAAATGGTTTATCTTTGTCCCAAAGCAGAATTTTATTTCATCCTTTCTTTTGGACATCTAAATTACTGTTATTGGTTTATTTCGGCATGGACGAAAATAGGACAATTTAATTCTTTTGAAAAGATGTATTTCACCTATGAGATGAATTTGATAATTTATTTTCGTGATTTGCATAAAGTTGTGTTGTTAAGCTTTCTTGTAAACTTATACCTTCTACCATATCTTAGATAGTTCTTAAGTAATTCATAAAGGTAGAAGGGTAACGTTTCTTTTAGCGTCTAGTGTATACATCTTTATTATTTTCCTGGACAACAAAAACAGAGATACAAAGTGCTTGGCAAAGAAAGATTTACTTCTACGTTTGATGGTAAAATGAAACAGAAATGGATATTCGATGGCGATGTGTTGGACATGGGTATCATAGGCCATGTTACATGCATCATTCTTTTGTACAGCATGATATTTTCTATAACGAACGGCACTTGTAACGATCGGGTGGTCCGGCACGCTGACAGGGTTGCCACAAGTCATCGTAACCCAATTGCATAGATCGATGCTCATGTTGTTGATCCCTGGATTGCCTGTTCCAGACTTGATTATTTACAGACCGCCGCCATATAGTTGGAATATTGCTGAGTGCGGCGTAAAACTAAACTCACTCAATCACTATAACGAGGGAGAATGTGTCGTCAGTAACTAGACACATCATATCGGATGAGCTGGGTTGGTTTGTCGAACCTGGGACTTGAATAGCGTACGCTTTACCCACAAAACTACCCACCGGCAATTTCGTGGATATTTCGTTGTATATACATTCATCGACGTTAATACTGATGTATTAACTGAATCATGTGCTTGTCCTTTATTGCGTTATCTTATTGCGCTTATCAAGCTGTCCACGCTTGTACTACGTGTACTTCAAGTATGCAGGGCAAGTACTCCAAATATGAATGTGAAGTACTCCAACATCTCCATCTCATAAGTCGCTGCCTCCGTGGTGTAGTGGTTAGAGCGTCCGCTCGGAGAGCGGAAGGTCGCGGGTTCGATCCCCAGCTGCGTCATACCAAACAACGTTATATATAGTACTTGTTGGTCTCTGCCTGGCGCTCGGTACAAATGGGTACAACAAGAACTGGTCGGCTCGGAGTCAGTATAATGTGTCTGAGTGGGGTATTCATTCTTAACTGCGGCATGGTATCTCATTGAGCTAGCACTATAGAACCAGCTTAAGTTTGGACTAGTACAAGCAGCCACACATACACACGCATGCACGTCGCCATATGAGCGAAATATTCTTAAGTACGACGTTAAACCCCATTTCACCTCACCTCACCTGATAAGTGCCGTATCAGTGTACACACCATTATGTCTTCTGCATATCATGACTGATGTAATTAAATGCTTCATTCAGAATTAAATAGTGTTTAATTCGCTATTCGACTTGTTTAATATGCAGCAGGCTATACAGTCCCGTTTCTGAATGGTATTATGTATTGACAGTTTTCGGCCATGGGATACGTGGCAACTTACACATGTCAGTGAGTGAGTGAGTTTAGTTTTACGCCGCCCTCAGCACTCAATAATCGAGTCTGGACCAGAGAATCCAGTGGTCAACAGCATGAGAATCGATCTGCGCAATTGGGAACCGATGACAACACATGTCAGAGAGGTACGTACACAAAGTCCGTGATCTAGACAACCACCTTGTCGGACTTCCTTTTGTGGAAGTCGTGGTGGCGGAGTGGGTTAGATTGTTGACTGTGTGCTGGTGATTTGGTGATGTATCGATATAACAGTAATGGAATGTCTTCTATTGGAAACAAACAAAGCAAAACGAAAAATACAGTCGAGTTAAATACCATCATACAAATTATTTATTTATATTATTAGGACCTTGTTTGCTGGCGGTCGTTAACGCAGCTTTGTTCGTGCGTTATATATATCAGATCAGTGAGCATGAAACGTGTTTCTTGTTTTACACCGCACTCGGCAACATTCCAGCTGCATGGCGGCGGTCTGTAAATAATCGGGTCTGGACCAGACAATCCAGTGATCAACAACATGAGCATCGATCTGCGCAATTGGAATACGATGACATGTGTTGACTAAGTCAGCGAGCCGTTAGTCGCCTCTTCCGACAAGCATTGGATGTTGAAGATCATTTCTGACCCCCGGATCTTCACGGGGTGACGCAGCACAGAGAGAAGCAAGAAATTTGCACATCCGTACCAAATGTGTTTCACAACTTGTTTATATGGTAAAGCTGGAACTAAACAGTCAACAGGGAGTGAGTCCGTACGAGAACTATGAGGGAAACCAACAAGCATTATAGAAATGAGATGTACCGTATTTCCTCTATTAAGCGCCGGGCCTCTAATAACCGCCGGGGATAAAGCAGTGCTTTAAGAAATAAGCGCCGGGTCTCTAATAACCGCCGGGTATAGACCTTTGCATTTTTCGCAAATGTATTCTCCCTTGGTCTAAAAAATAAGTATATTAAGGAATGGTCCCATAAATCATAACTTCATGTACTCATCCCCGCTTTTAAAAATACAGGGTATTTTAATAAGCGCCGGGTCTGAGGTCCGTTGAAAAATAAGCGCAGAGGGCGCTTATTAGAGGAAATACGGTAATTAACAATTGTATTCTCAATTTATATGAGGAGCAGTGCCGTTCGTCACCACTCGCCACTTTCCGTAAATTCTAAGAAGATGGCTCATTCGTAACTAACTATCCTCTTCAATGACCTACAAGAAGACTCGTACCTGTATAGTACGCCATTATTGCCAAGAATCGTGGCAAACCAATCAAATCTAAAATAGTAAAATGTGAAATGAGTCAAGTACTAGTTTTTAGTGATTATCGATTTTCATTATTATTTCCGTGAATATAATAACATTATCTTGTTAATGTTATTTGTTAACGACATATATAAGAAACTTACCTGAAGTGACTTTCGTGTTGTATTATAAGTTTCTAGGAGTAGTCATGTTTGGAAATTCTGAGTTATCTTTCCTTGGAAATAGTCCCAGACTCTTTCACCCCATGTGCGTTTAGACAAGATCCAGTCGTGAACATGGCCACGAGCGGGTACGAGTCGCCATCCGGCTTGCCGGAATGACATGAGTAGTTGGAATGGAAGATCGGCATTCGGTTGGTCCCGGAATAACACGAGTTGGTCACGAATGACGATGACATGTGTCAACCAAATCAGCCATCATGACCACATGGATCCCGTTAGTCGCCTCTTACGACAAGCATGGGTTGCTGAAGACCAATTCTAACCCGGATCTGTAAGGGCTCAGCGGTGACTATCGTTACTGTATTTTACCCAAGCGAAATCGTATTCTTTTGTTTGTAAATGTGATGTATTATCTCATAAGAGCTTACATAAAGCTGGTATTGGTAAAATATACAGGGGGCGGTGGGGTAGCCTAGTGGTTAAAGCGTTCGCTGGTCACGCTGAAGACGCGGGTTCGATTCCCCACATGGTTACAGTGTGTGAAGCCCATTTCTGGTGTCCCCGCCGTGATATTGCTAAAAGCGGCGTAAAACAACCATACACTCTCACTAAAATATACAGGGAAGGTTGGGTTCATTATTGTTTGTCTGCAATCTCGACCCAGTCTGATTAAACAAAATCAAACGTTATGTCATATGGGACACAGTCAGGCATGCATGATGGCGAGATTCTCAAACAAACACACACAAAATTAATATAAACATCACAACATTTAGGGTTAAATGGCAAATGTTTGCAACGACCTCTTCCAACCATGTTTCCGGTAGTGCAACACGGGTATCAACTGGGAAAGAACTTGATTTTATGCAATATCATCATTCCATTTCTGCTAACGGAAAAACCCGATTGGAACTGAGTGTCATCATTAAACAGTAAGATGGCGGCGATCACCTTGTGGACCTCTTAGTTGAAGTTTCTACGCAAGGTTTACATTTTAGGCCAGGTACGCAGCTCGAAAACACCCTGGTGAGATCAGCCACAAGGGACGAAAAGAAGGGAAAATATGAGGAGGGTGGCTCCCCTACTCCCAGAGACTTGGCTGATGGGCGGTCATCACCGGCACTTTCATGTTTCCGTCGATACGCCGAGAGGCTCCGTTTGTCCAAGAGAAGGTATTCATAGAGGTCGTTAAAGACTGTACACTTCCGGTTGTGTTGATGCTGAGACACATGCAACTGCATATGGCATTTGCACGTGACGTCACTGAAACAGACGTCAGAGATTATTGAATGCAATAGGTATAAACTATTGACGTAAACAACGCGTCTTATATATTTTGGATGTGTAAAGAAAAATTGGTACATTCACAATAACTTACTTCCTGCCAGTAAAAAAAATGTATGCGTTGAAAAGTTGTTCTGTGACGTCACAATCAAATTGCATCACTAATCTCGGGCACCGAAGTACTCAATACACCAGTTATTTCAGAAATACACGATGACGTTTTAGGGTGCATGCACACTACGTCCGATTTTCTATGCGATGCTTTGCGTTGCGTTTTTCCGCTCACACTGCATGCGTTTTCCTATTGCGTTACTATCGTATACCATTGTACACTAAAATACTCATTATACATAAATAATCCTTCATATTGATCAACATCAATTATTTACATCTGTATGTTTGGCAAAGAAGTTAAACATATTAAACGTATGCTTTCTAAAGAGAAAATGCAACACAAATGTTGTTCTCGGTCATGTTATGAATAGTAGCTGCACCATGTCAATGAAAAAGAATTACGCTAACATTGTCTGTGAAGCGTATATCATTGGGAAATACCCCCAAACTGTAGCAAAATAATGACGACACAAATGAAATCCCATGCGATTTCAATGCGATGCGATGCGATGAAAGTAGGTGCAGCAGCTAATTTCATCGCATCGGATCGTATCGCATTGACGCATCTGTTGTACGCGGTCATAGTAAAATGCACGGTGTGCGTTTTTAACGTATCGCGTGCATCCTTAACGTTATGATATGATACTGTATTTTATTGCACTGTACATGGGGTTAGAGCAAACTGTATATATTTTCTAAGATGTCAAATTTCGTACTTACCGACGAATATTCTAAGGCAGAAAGCAAACAGAAAAACGACGATGCTACCGAGTTAGTTGCCCTGTAGGAGACTGTACTTCTGGCAATGACAACTGACATTCATGTACGTACAACCTATGGGAAGTGATTTTTAAACGCCTGTGATGGTAAACATACTAATTGTATCCGTTTGTTTTAAACACTACAGCTTTGGCGACACCAAGAATGAATAAACTGTGACACATGTTTTGATTGTTACAAACAAAATAGTGATTTTCAGTTGATTTCTACGAATTATACCATGTTTACTGGATGCGTATTTGACTTTTATTCGTGTTTATTCGTCTGCTAAACAAATACAAATCAAAACGACATAAGAAATAGACGATTGGCCATTCTCTCTCAGAATTGATGTTCAATCGAGTTGTAAACGTTGATTGACTCCTGTTGCTTGTGCTTTGATCGCTAATGGGCACTCAGGTCCGATCGTCTGTTACGCTCGGCGAAATTTTGTCTGTAACAACTGATCAGCCTGGCCACCATTAGGGGATATGGGTTTGCGTTTCAAAATGTGAAGTCATTCGTAACTACTCGCCTATTTCCGTGACCTACAAGACACTTGTACCTGTATAGTACGCCATTATTGCCAAGAATCGTGGCAAAACCAATCAAATCGCCCGTAGGAAAATGTAGAAATGAGTCAAATAGTTTCTTTGTGATATTCGATTTTCATTATTGTTTCCGTGATTAACGACATAGGAAAAGTACCTAAAGTGACTTTCTTGTTATATCATACATTTCCATTCGCCACCACTCGCACCTTTCCGTAACCTCCAAGAAGACTCGTTGATTATTAAACCCTCTTCAGATATATGATTGAAAATATAAGGTGAACCTCTGGTAATAATTACGCCAGAATATGTATGTTTTGCTCTGTTGCTCTTTTTAGTTGTACCAAGGAGGTTTAATTCTTTAGAATAAAGCAAAAACACAAACAGCAACACAATGTATGAGTACTTTGCGGTGATATTAAGTGCCATTGGAATCAAACAGGAATAGAGTTATCGTTCCTGTTTGAAAGGAGTTCTGATGTTCCTGCGCCTAAAACACGAGTTGGTCATGAAATCCTTCCAGAAGGGCACGACATTCGTGACCAACTCGTCTTATTCAGGACAAGCCAACGATCTTCTTGGAGGTTACGGAAAGGGGCGAGTGACTGGTGACGATTGAGGGTTAATTTTCTAAATAAGCACGAGTCGCTATTCGGCTTGTCCCGGAATAACACGAGTTGGTCACGAATATGAAATATGGCATTTCTAGCTGTAGCCATCTTTGGAAATTCAGAGTTATCTTTCCTTTGAAATAGTCGTGAACATGGCCACGAGAGGGCTGCGTTATGTCAACAAACGCACGTGCGTGCATTTGAATCTCTCACCGTCAGTCGCATGATTCTTATTAAAAACTTCATAATAGCCAGTGAAAAATCTTTTAGCTACGCGTTCTTTGTACATTCAAAATGACGATATATATTTTCATGATTCTTTAAACAATGCCATAATGCCATAAACGATTTTAAGTATTATTTTATCAAAGCACCGCGCTTCATTTACGCGTTCTGATTGGTTTGTCGTATTTTCGCACATAACAAGTATCGAGTGGGGACGAGTCTCTCTGGAGGTTACGGAAAGGGCGCGAGTGATGACGAATGGAGAGGGTACTATCGCCATCCGGCTTCGCCGGAATGACACGAGGGTTACGAATGAATGAAGTGTCAATTATAACGCCAGAAACAGGGGTAATCATCATGATGTCAAGTCCGTACAGGCAACCGACCGACTATTACTTGAGGGGCGGTGGGTAGCCTTGTGGTTAAAGCGTCCGCTCGTCACGCCGAAGACCCGGGTTTCCGATTCCCATATGGGTACACTATGTGAAGTATACGTTTTGTGTACCCGGCCGTGATATTACTAGAATATTGCTAACAGCAGTGTAAACCCAGCCATGCTCACTCACATTTACTTGTGTAGGTGATGTTTATAAGACGATGACTGCTAACTGGCTGCGTAAAACACACCGTTGAGAATATTAAGTGGTCGATCGATTCATTTCAATACACTATATATTTCAACAAAAACGACAAAACGTAAATCCTACCAGTTTCATTCGGAGCACCTTGAGATACACCAGGAGTAGGCATGCTTGAAAGAACAGTTGTGGTAGGCGTGGAATTCGTGGAACTGGTGGGGGAGGCAGAGAAGGCTGTAGTGCTTGTGTCTGGAGAGGATCTTCCTGTGGTGGTTGTGTCAGAAGATGTTACTGTTGTGCTTGTGTCAGGAGTGGATGTCGTTGTGGTGCTTGTGTCAGAAGAGGATCTTCCTGTGGTGCTTGTGTCAGAAGAGGATGTCGTTGTGGTGGTTGTGTCAGGAGAGGATGTCGTTGTTGTGCTTGTGTCAGGAGAGGATCTTCCTGTGGTGCTTGTGTCAGAAGAGGATGTCGTTGTTGTGCTTGTGTCAGGAGAGGATGTCGTTGTGGTGGTTGTGTCAGGAGAGGATCTCGTTGTGGTGCTTGTCTCAGGAAAGGATCTTCCTGTTGTGCTTGTGTCAGGAGAGGATCTCGTTGTGGTGGTTGTGTCAGGAGAGGATGTCGTTGTTGTGCTTGTGTCAGGAGAGGATCTCGTTGTGGTGCTTGTCTCAGGAAAGGGTCTTCCTGTCGTGCTTGTGTCAGAAGAGGATCTCGTTGTGGTGCTTGTTCTAGGAGCGGAACTGGCTGTAGCGCTTTGGTCAGATATGGAAGTGACCATAGTGCTTGTGTCAGGACTGGACATATATGTAATGGTCGAGAAAGAAGGAGGGGTTGCGATGGTGTCCTTGTCCAAAGACGTAGTGAACGTCGTAGTAGCTGTACCGGATGATGTCGATTCAGGACACGTCAGCAAAGGATCATCGATTTCGCTATCCTCAGCACCTACCAGACTTACTCTACTGACTGAAACAGAATGTAAGTCCAAATAGGTTGACAAAAACCTTTCTTGAACACCGAAGTGATGTGATTGAGAGTGAATTATGGTTTTCGCCGCTTTTAGCAATATTTCATCATTATCACGGCGGGGATGCTAGAAATGAACATCATTCATTGTACGAATCTGAGAAATCGAACCCGTGAGTTCGGTGTGACAGCGAACGCATTAACCACTAGCCTGCTCCACTGCCCCCATAGTCCATGCTGTATGTTATAATGGAAAGAACTGATTTAACGTAATTCCCACACGCATGTTACCGCTGAGGTACCAGATGACTTCCGTGATCACGATAGTGTTAGGCGACACAACTCGCTATGTGGAGTTGCGTCACTTAGTCGTACCAGGATCCGGTGGTTAATCGTGTGTTCTAAAACCAGATTGTGAGGATTACGAAGCCTGGTTTGACTACAACTGTTCTCTTGGAAGTGGAATCGCATCACAAACTGTGTTGAAAGAAGAATAACTTACAATTGAAACATCTTCTTAGTCCTAAGATACATTTCTCATTTCGTTCGACGTCGTTCTCGCAGAAATAAGGATTCGAACCAAATATCAGTTGGCATGTGTTGTAGTCACGGTGGAATATATAGGCCCAACACACATTGCCGCCATTTACTTCTGTATTACACAGTTCCTCACAGTCTACCAATGTTGTCGCATTCACGCTCTTCTTTGGAACATCCAAACTGCATGTCTGTTCTTCTTTCAACTCGTATGTGCACGTCCCTGTAATAAAGTGAGTGAGTTTAGTTTTACGTCGCTTTTAACAACACTCTAGCAATATCAAGCTTTACTAGTGGAGTTTACTGGTGGTGTTTACTAGTGGTGCTTACTGGTGGTGTTTACTAGTGGAGTTTACTGGTGGTGTTTACTAGTGGTGCTTACTGGTGGTGTTTACTAGTGGTGCTTACTGGTGGTGTTTACTAGTGGTGCTTACTGGTGGTGTTTACTAGTGGCGTTTACTGGTGGTGTTTACTAGTGGAGTTTACTGGTGGTGTTTACTAGTGGTGCTTACTGGTGGTGTTTACTAGTGGTGCTTACCGATGGTGTTTACAGGTGTAATGTACCGGTGGTGTTTACTAGTGCAAATTACTGGTGGTGTTTACTAGTGCAAATTACCGGTGGTGTTTACTAGTGCAGTTTACCGGTGTTGTTTACAGCTGTGGTGCTTACTGGTGCTGTTTACTAGTGTTTACTGGTGGTGTTTACGGTGCAAATTACTGGTGGTGTTTACTAAACGCAAATTACCGGTGGTGTTTACTGGTGCTTACTGGTGGTGTTTACTAGTGGGTGTTTGCTGGTGGTGTTTACGTGTTCAAATTACCGGTGGTGTTTACCAGTGGTGTTTACGGGTGCAAATTACAACGGTGGTGCTTTACCGGCGGTAATTACCGGTGATGTTTATCCCGGTACCGGTTTACAGAATAATTATTGTTCTTTATAGTATATATCATTTTCGTGGTAAAACTGAAATATTGGCGCAAATATCCCACTCACTAAATTGATATTATGTTCAAATGAGATAGTAAGAAATGTGACGCTCATACCTTGAGATTTGGCACATAGGATCTCCAGACCCTTCCAGCAACTTTCCGTGTACCATGTGAGGAATCTTTCTGATAACAGCACACATAGTTTGTTACTGGTTGATAACGGTTTCGAGTTCCAGTTGGTCCAATCAGACTGCAGTGGTTGACAATTCGACCAATAGTATCCATTTGTGCTATCCAGGCCCCGTAAATGCAAGCCAATCCACATGTCGCTTCTGTTTCAGAAAGGAAAATTAGTTTAATTTGTAATAACCTTTCAACTGAAAATTACCAGATGTGCTCGAAAGGAAAATTAATCCTTACCATAAGGTCTTGTAACGAGCGAGTTTGGGTTTCATGCCGCTTTAAGCAATATTCCAGCAATGTCACGGCTGGGGACACTAGAAATGGGGCTTCACACATTGTACCCACGTTGGGAATCGAACCCGGGCCATCGGCGTGACGAGCGGACGCTTAACCATTAGGCTACTCCACCTCACCTGGCGCTTGTAACGGCAAATACTAGCTTCAAGGTATATAGTGCATCTGCCAGGGTCTTGGGACTTATTTCATGTAATGGTCTTTTGGGTGTGTCCAGATGTAGGATATACATTGTACTTCGTTTGTTTACACTCGGGGATCAAGAGAACAATTATCCCCTGTGTTTTGTATGACCAGATGCACTGTATACATTGTGCTACGTTTCAAAACCAAACCGAAACATGAGTCTCATGAACTAATTCAGACAGTGACCAACTTTTCAGCTGACCCAAATTTTCTCGTGTGAAAGTGAAAAGAGACTCTACAAACAACTATAGTTGCACGACATTCCAATTCCTTGTTTCATAAGAAAATGGTATCTACAAATTAATTTTAATTGTAATCTTTAAAAAAGTATATATTTTATGACGAGGTTTACGCAGCATGATTTTAACTAAGACGTCACAGACTGTTCCTGTTTGAAGAGGTCTCAAAATGATTCATAATTCATCTGGCTGACTGGTAACACTTATTGTGTGTTCCTTGCGCTTATTGAGTGTATTTTGTAACGAACAAAGTGATTTGATATAATATCAAGGTCGTACAAGACCGTCCAAATTCTCTAGCGGCAGAGCCTCGTTTTGAGATTCCACGATTTCCAGATTTCCGTTTGTCAGAGCACGCTCTACGACAGAGCACGACGTGTTTGCAAGGATTAGAAGGAACGTAGTGGTGAAATATATAAGTGATTAGATGTATCAAATAATACTGATTAATATTTATATATCCAGTTGAATGAGTTAGTCTCAAAATTCTGGACCGGTTATTGTACTAAGTTGCGCAATAGGACGGAACCCAATCAGCAGGAGACTGTTGTGTAATCAATGTTTTGACTTGTTGGGGTGTGTCCAGGTGTACCGTATACATTGTGCTGCGTATATACGTTAAGTCTATTATCTTCTTTGAGAGGAATTTTATAAGTTGTAAAACCCAAGTTCTATGAAGGAAAACCAAGTTCTACGGATAGTCAACTTCTGTATTGCGATGAGTGCGACGTTTCGGTGTAGGTGCTAACACGGAAACGTCGCACTCATTGAAATAAAGAAGTTGACTATCCATAGAACATGGTTTCCCTTCATAGAACTTGGTTTCCCTTCATAGAACTTGGTTTCCCTTCATAGAACTTAGTATCCCTTCATAGAACTTGGTTTCCCTTCATAGAACTTGGTTTCCCCTTCATAGAACTTAGTTTCCCTTCATAGAACTTGGTTTCCCTTCATAGAACTTAGTTTCCCTTCATAGAACTTGGTTTCCCTTCATAGAACTTGATTTCCCTTCATACAACTTAGTTTCCCTTCATACAACTTGGATTTCCTTGTAGGTGCTAACACGGAAACATCACACTCATTGCAATAGAAGTTGACTATCCACAGAACTTGGTTTTCCTTCAAGCCTATTATCCTACATCCAGTTGTCAAAGACGTGCGAGGATATGCCATGTGTCTTTCACACGTTATTAAAACATATCATCATTGTTATCGACACTTACCCGAACTGTAAAACAGAGTGCATCTGAACTAAAACATTCTGCATAGTTTGATCCAGGACGTTGAGAAGGCTCCCGTAGCCCTTCCCACACAGCGCCAAGCCTGTGTTCCACGAGTACTCTTCCTGAATCAGGGTCAATGACGTCATGAACATCGTTGGAGCTGGCGAGTTAAAGACACGGCATCGGTGAAACAGGACGGTGAATATACATCACTGACTCGAAGTGTTCGATATCCTCGAGTTATCCGTAGTACGAGACAAACAGGAACTTGGGGGTTTCTTAGAGACAGAATATGGTACTGTCACTGTGACAATTCAGATACACAGCCCGGGAAGAGAAAGAATACATCCAATTCGTTGTTTGAAATGAAATCTAACATGAAATGGTCGTTCCATAGTGATGTTTTCGATACGGGTATAATTGTTGTATTTTGGACATTGCACTATTTCGGCGTCACTTTTCAGCTTAATATCGTTTGAAATTTTATCTTCATATCCATTTTTCAACCGTATCTTTGTTTCGCCTGTGTGATTATCTAATCTCTGAACGGAAGAGTCAACTACCACAAAACAAATTTTTCAATGGTACTAACGAATCTATTTTTCCAGTAATTTCTGGAACGAAGTGAACTATATAGAGTAGTGAGTGAGTTTAGTTTTACGCCGCACTCAGCAATATTCAAGCTACATGGCGGCGGTCTGTAAATAATCGAGTTTGGACAAGACAATCCAGTGATCAACAGCATGAGCATCGTTCTACGTAATTAGGAAACGATGATATGTGTCAACCAAGTCAGCGAGCCTAACCACCCGATCCCGTTAGTCACCTCTTCCAACAAGCATGGGTTACTGAAGATCAATTCTAACCCGGATCTTCACGGGTCTTATACAAAGTAAACTACGGTTATAACGAAGTCAAAGGGGCTTTATTGCTTTATTACTGTATTTCGTTATACGCATTTCGGCCAGAATATACAACAAGTCGTCGGGAAAAAGTTCGATATATCCGTCAGTTGGCTATGAGAGTGTTCGTTATAAACATAGTTTATGGTATGGGGATAAGTAAGCTATCGAGAACGTTTTGGGCAGCCACGAGGCAACTTCGGGACATAACATCTCTGACATCATCTTCAAATAATGTTTTATTGGTGTGAAACACAGAACTTGTAACTCAAAACCTTTAAAGTGCTTGTCATATTCTAGTTCATTAGGGGCGGTGGGGTAGCCTAGTGGTTAAAGCGTCCGCTCGTCAAGCCGAAGACCCGGGTTCGAATCCCCACATGGGCACAATGTGTGAAGCCCATTTCTGGTGTCCCCCGCCGTGATATTGCTGGAATATTGCTAAAAGCGGCGTAAAACCATACTCACTCACTCACTCTAGTTCATTAACAACGAAGTTCATAAATGCAGTATGCTTTGTTCCACAATGCTGTTGTTATAGCAACGTCTTTGAGTGGCATTATTAGAGTGTATGCTTCACTACTACAGTAAAGGATAAGGATGTGTAAGTTACGCGTTTACATTAGTGAGTGAGTGAGTATGGTTTTCCGCCGCTTTAAGCAATATTCCAGCAATATTACGGCGGGGGACACCAGAAATAGGCTTCGCACATTGATACCCATGTGGGAATCGAACCTGGGTCTTCGGCGTGACGACCGAACGCTTTAACCACTAGGCTACCCCACCGCCCCCTGTATGCCGCCCCTCGTATTTATTAAAGGACGCTGCACGTTACTGTTACCAATAGTTACCTGTGTCGGCACTCCCTGGACACAGGCCGATTAGGAGCACGACCTGCAGGGTAAAATAGTATAGTACAGTATAACGTAAGAGTAATATCATAAACATTCAGAGCCTTATACAAATAGGGGCATGGACGTGTGCTGGGATTTTGTTTAGAGACACAAAACTATCGTTCACTGCTTCAAAACGTTTTGCTCAAAGAAAGTTTCCTGTTTCCAAATAAACAAAATGTGTCTTCGCACAGACAAAAGTTTACTCGAGATAAACAAAATGTGTCTCCAAAGAAATAAAACCTGACGCAAATTCTAAAAAATGTGTCTCCAAATAGGCAAAACGCGTCTCCAAATAACAAAACCTGTCTCCATAAGAAACAAAAATCCAGATTTCACACGTATGGAATGATACTGCTTGTCCCATATTGCATACTACAAAGTGCAGAATACCACATATACCACATACTGCATACGGTGTGCGAATTAGCCACTAGCCTGCTAGCCTGTGGCTAGTAAAAATCCAGTCGGGCCAGTAAATCTCCACCGTGACTGGCCCGACTGGCTAATGAATATTCGTGGGGTCATTTTGTAAATATATCACGCTCTCCGGTCTACGATGCAGCAACATCGGATCCAAAGACTAATTCGTCCCATGCCGGGACGATGTCGCGCAGTTCTGAAAGCCAAATGTGGGCACATAAGGTACTGACTTCAGCGCCACCAAACGTCTGTATGTGACCCACTAACTGACTTTTCTCGAGCTCTAATCAAACAGTGGTACTGTGACATTTCCCAAGTGAAATCTCTTTGAATTACATTTGCCATTAAATTCCATACGATGAATAAAAATAAAGACTAAATTGCAGTCAAAAATCGTGTATGAGTTTCTTTTTTGAGAGAGTATATTTAAACTTTGCCTGATCTTCAATTTTAAGCCTATTAAGTCAAACCTACACCCGTGTGTCGTACAAACCTGTGCTTTATGAGTGCCACTCTGGTATTCAAGATCAAACAGTGAGCCATCCTAATAGTTCCTAACCTAACAGGTGGCAGAGGTCGAAGTCCTCGACAGTATACAACAACACCGTGGTGAGGACAGAGCCTTGTTTCCCGCCATTTGAGATCCTGATTTCGCAGACGGCTCTCCGTCCGACATTACTTCTTATGTCATGACGCGTGAAGCAAATGGATCAGTTTGTGAACTTCGCCGGGCAACCCAGTTTCTAAAATGCGACACACAGTGACTCTTTGTTGATCGTGTCGAATGACTGTTTTCAGAATACCTTTGTCGAATGCCTACGTCAGGTTCCGTTTGGATGTCTCATGTTTGATCTTCGTCGTCTCAGAGCCAAAATCTCTGAAGAAACTCGTCACAGAAGCATTATTTGCTAACGACTGCGCCCTGATAACCCACCAGGAAAATCATCTTCAGACTATTGTCAACCAATTCTAAAAGGCGTCCAGGCTTCCCCTGTACAAAATAACATAAGCCCTTAGACTGTCGTAGGTCCTTGCTAAATTATCAAGTCACGGTCATCTCAGCGCTAAAGTCGCTTTGTACATGGGCACAATGCAGCTGGCCTTTAAGGGTGGAACCGTGACTGAATTGGTAATATTTAAGCAAAATGTGTCTTTAAGAGTACCAGGGAAAACTAGCTTTGGTAAAAATAATTTTTTGACAAGCCTGGCATTGTCTGAATAATACCAAATTGGTAAACACAATATACCCTGGAGGAAGTGATGCTTTTCACTTACCATCAGGGTTTGGTACAGGATAGTGCAGCATGACGATATCGTCCAGCATTTCACCATACTGTCGTATTTCTCAGCTCTGTACTGCCTTCCCACACTGTTTAATCTGACATCCGATGATTAGACTTCTGAGATTCACTTTAATCGATCTCAACATTTATCTTATACCGTAAAGCACCAATTAAACTCCAGATGAATTGATGTATGTCTGGAATACACTGTGTTAACCAAAGCAGAATTCGACCATAACGTCACGCTTTTGATTTTGACAATGAATTCATACACATATATCGTCGAGAAAATAAGATATTGACTCTGAGGTCGTATCAACTGAGAAAACATTCGCAGTCCACAGACTGAGCATCAGAGACAATGCATGGTAAAAAGACATTGTAGGGGACGAGTTGGAATCAATAGGCAGAACGGATGTGTTTTAAACGTATCACGAACTTCAAGTTATGTCAATGTTGATGGAAAATGTTATTTGTCTGCGTAGCTACTGATATCACTGAGTGTTACACACATAAACCATACTGTCGGACGACTCCAAATGTGGATCAATTATTTGCTGATACTTGGTGAAAACCATAGACCACGTTTCAAAATGTAAGATGCCTGCACTTGAACATACGTGCTTTCTGTGAAAATAGTTTGCATGCATTGTAGATATAGATTTGAAATGGTTCGTATGGAATCCTAGAAAGGACATTATCGCGTTGTTGCATTGTTGCATTGTCTCGCTTTGCTTAATGTTGACACTCTTTACTTCTTTTGTCAGGGCAACAATGAGACAAATCGACAATGTCCCTTCTAGGATTCCATAGCTTTGACAAAGTTTTTACACGATACAAGATGGCCGGGATATTGACAGTCATTGCTACAGAAGTCACTTCGCCATGGGAATTCTGAATTAGAATTGGTCCCAAGTATGATTTTCGTAAGAGGCGACATGATGGATCGGGTAGTTCAGCTCGCAGACGTGGGGCGTGGGGCGTATAACAACGCATATACACAAGCAACAACATACACATACAGACAGACAGACAGACCAGGTAATCAGGGGCAGTGGGTGGAATGGGTTATTGCTAAAACGGCGTAAAACCATACTCACTCGCTTTTATGACGTGACATACCTTAAGCCAAAGTCGTCAAGCTCATATCTCTTAAATGCCCCCTATGTCATAGGTAAGGAGTGACGACAGTCGTAGTGTTCAGTCTACTGTAACTCTATGTCATGGGTAAGGAGTGACGACAGTCGTAGTGTTCAGTCTACTGTAACTCTATGTCATAGGTAAGGAGTCACGACAGTCGTAGTGTTCAGTCTACTGTAACTCTATGTCATGGGTAAGGAGTCACGACAGTCGTAGTATTCAGTCTACTGTAACTCCATGTCATAGGTAAGGAGTGACCACAGTCGTAGTGTTCAGTCTACTGTAACTCTATGTCATGGGTAAGGAGTCACGACAGTTGTAGTGTTCAGTCTACTGTAACTCTATGTCATGGGTAAGGAGTCACGACAGTCGTAGTGTTCAGTCTACTGTGACTCTATGTCATAGGTAAGGAGTGACCACAGTCGTAGTGTTCGGTCTACTGTAACTCTATGTCATGGGTAAGGAGTGACGACAGTCGCAGTGTTCAGTCTACTGTAACTCCATGTCGTGGGTAAGGAGTGACCACAGTCGTAGTGTTTAGTCTACTGTAACTCTGTGTCATGGGTAAGGAGTCACGACAGTCGTAGTGTTCAGTCTACTGTAACTCTATGTCATGGGTAAGGAGTCACGACAGTCGTGGTGTTCAGTCTGCTGTGACTCTATGTCATAGGTAAGGAGTCACGACAGTCGTAGTGTTCAGTCTACTGTAACTCTATGTCATGGGTAAGGAGTCACCACAGTCGTAGTGTTCAGTCTACTGTGACTCTATGTCATAGGTAAGGAGTCACGACAGTCGTAGTGTTCAGTCTACTGTAACTCTATGTCATGGTCAAAAGGAGTCACGACAGTCGTAGTATTCAGTCTACTGTAACTCTATGTCATGGGTAAGGAGTGACGACAGTCGTAGTGTTCAGTCTACTGTAACTCTATGTCATGGGTAAGGAGTGACCACAGTCGTAGAGTTCAGTCTACTGTAACTCTATGTCATGGGTAAGGAGTGACCACAGTCGTAGAGTTCAGTCTACTGTAACTCTATGTCATGGGTAAGGAGTCACGACAGTCGTAGTATTCAGTCTACTGTAACTCTATGTCATGGGTAAGGAGTGACGACAGTCGTAGTGTTCAGTCTACTGTAACTCTATGTCATGGGTAAGGAGTGACCACAGTCGTAGAGTTCAGTCTACTGTAACTCTATGTCATGGGTAAGGAGTCACGACAGTCGTAGTGTTCAGTCTACTGTAACTCTATGTCATGGGTAAGGAGTCACGACAGTCGTGGTGTTCAGTCTGCTGTAACTCTATGTCATGGGTAAGGAGTGACGACAGTCGTAGTGTTTAGTCTACTGTAACTCCATGTCATAGGTAAGGAGTCACGACAGTCGTAGTGTTCAGTCTACTGTAACTCCATGTCATAGGTAAGGAGTCACGACAGTCGTAGTGTTCAGTCTACTGTAACTCTATGTCATGGGTAAGGAGTCACGACAGTCGTAGTGTTCAGTCTACTGTAACTCTATGTCATGGGTAAGGAGTGACGACAGTCGTAGTGTTTAGTCTACTGTAACTCCATGTCATAGGTAAGGAGTCACGACAGTCGTAGTGTTCAGTCTACTGTAACTCCATGTCATAGGTAAGGAGTCACGACAGTCGTAGTGTTCAGTCTACTGTAACTCCATGTTATAGGTAAGGGGTGACCACAGTCGTAGTGTTTAGCCTCACGTAACTCTACGTTATAAGTAAGGTGTTACTACAAGTCTAAGTAATGCTGGGAGGTTATTTTAAACAAGGCTTTTTCCCGTTTCGACCACATTCCCAGGTAACCTTTATATGTTTGGTCTATTCCTATTCCATTATGCTTTAATTATAAATGAATTATAATCCATTTCCCATTGAAAGTAAGAATTACAGTATTATTTACTCTGATCAATGTTAACTTTACAAAATGTTTTGCGTCATTGCGAGGTTGAGCTTATAATTCCTTCATCTTTATATTCCCAGTAAATGTATGAATACCTTCTCCATCGGCAGTCGTAGTGTTCAGTCTACTGTAACTCTATGTCATGTTCAAACAGTGACCACAGTCGTAGTGTTCGTTCTACTGTAACTCTATGTCATGTTCAAAGAGTGACCACAGTCGTAGTGTTCAGTCTACTGTAACTCTGTGTCATGTTCAAAGAGTGACCACAGTCGTAGTGTTCGGTCTACTGTAACTCTATGTCATGTTCAAACAGTGACCACAGTCGTAGTGTTCGGTCTACTGTAACTCTATGTCATGTTCAAACAGTGACCACAGTCGTAGTGTTCGTTCTACTGTAACTCTATGTCATGTTCAAAGAGTGACCACAGTTGTAGTGTTCGGTCTACTGTAACTCTATGTCATGTTCAAACAGTGACCACAGTCGTAGTGTTAATAGTCTGTTTGCAGTGAAAACGTACCGATGAATTTCACTTTAAACAAAAAAGTATGTGCATGACAATTTGAAACTATGATCGTTTGTTAAACAACTTTTATCCTAAGTTGAATAAAATTCTGAGATTTTAATGCTCAATTGGCAAGGTAAAGTCATGAGGATTCGCAATCTTAATTTCACTTTATTTGATTTACCTTTTTTGTTTAAAATGAAATTCATCGGTATGTTTTCACAGACTATAGCATGAGTGACTCTATGTCATGGTTAAGGCGTGACGACAGTCGTAGATTGTAACTCCTGCATCTTTATGCATACCTTCCTGATTGGAGCTAGCCTGGTGTTATCTGAAATAACAGTTTACTAATTTTTACAGCATGACGCTGTCATGAATTTTTAATTAAAAAAATGATTTAAGTAGAATTTACACGTTGGTGTTGCACAACGTCATTTTGTCAATATTCAAAAGAGCAGATATTAAATAACGGTTAGCGTTCAATGCTCACAATAATACATGTCTATTCTAGTGGTAAATTTACAAAAGTTCACGTAGCTGTATTCCAGATTCCTCACCGATCTGGAAAAGTCTTCAGTTTCGATGTAGTGTTCAATAAATATTTGCTCGCAGAAGATGCTATTTCAGATTTGAAGTGTGGAAGTGTACATCCCACTTGGGTGTTGCATCAATCGATACGTTTCTCATGAAATCACCTTCTTCCAACTTCTGATACTGAGTTGGTAAGTATTTGTCTATTAATACTATGGCTACAGATACACAGTGTGGTAAAAACGGAGAGTAAAAACAGTTTCGATTTTTGCTGAACCTGTGGTATACGTGTCACAGGCAATATTTGTTGGGATTAGGTTCAGGCAATATTTGTTGGGTGTAGGTTCAGGCAATATTTGTTGGGATTAGGTTCAGGCAATATTTGTTGGGATTAGGTTCAGGCAATATTTGTTGGGTGTAGGTTCAGGCAATATTTGTTGGGATTAGGTTCAGGCAATATTTGTTGGGATTAGGTTCAGGCAATATTTGTTGGGATTAGGTTCAGGCAATATTTGTTGGGTGTAGGTTCAGGCAATATTTGTTGGGATTAGGTTCAGGCAATATTTGTTGGGATTAGGTTCAGGCAATATTTGTTGGGTGTAGGTTCAGGCAATATTTGTTGGGAGTAGGTTCAGGCAATATTTGTTGTGAGTAGGTTCAGGCAATATTTGTTGTGAGTAGGTTCAGGCAATATTTGTTGTGAGTAGGTTCAGGCAATATTTGTTGGGATTAGGTTCAGGCAATATTTGTTGGGATTAGGTTCAGGCAATATTTGTTGGGAGTAGGTTCAGGCAATATTTGTTGGGATTAGGTTCAGGCAATATTTGTTGGGATTAGGTTCAGGCAATATTTGTTGGGTGTAGGTTCAGGCAATATTTGTTGGGAGTAGGTTCAGGCAATATTTGTTGGGAGTAGGTTCAGGCAATATTTGTGGGAGTAGGTTCAGGCAATATTTGTTGTGAGTAGGTT